TTTGAATAATAATGTTCTCCTCTGACGTCAGGACGTCTAAAAAATATATAAAATGGGCGAAAGGGGTCCCGGCGGGTAGAGCTAGGAGCCGTACTCGTTAGGCGACGCCTGCATATCATCTTAAAGTTTAATTGAGTCTGGCCGCTTGGGAGTGAAACACCGAGATTGCTTGGGAATTCCCAAAAGAGCAGCTTCTGAATCTCTCGGCGCCAAGTTGAATCGCAAAGCGTCTGCCTTGACTCGATTTTGCCACCGCCTGCTACCCTGATGTTCACCCTCTGGCCCCTTACCACCGCACCCCCTCACGAGGCAACCCCCTTGCGAGAACCACCTTACAAATGCCGACAGGCAAAACATGTATAATTAAAAACGGTAGTTGTTTCCATTTTGACCGTTATTTTATAGCGCCGAATATAAAAATGTAGTTCATTTCGTGAGAGCAATTAAGACTGGCATTTTGGTCAATTTTTATGGCAAAAGGTTCAAAAATCGTGGTTTTAAGAGTCTCAGAAAATAATAAACAAAGCCGTATGGAAAGAAGACGAAAAATTTCCCAATTATTCCCGGTTATTTTTTACAGGTATTCAAAATGTTTTAAAAAAAGTAGTGATGATAGTGATAAAAAAATTATGAAAATTTCAGGATTTGTAGGACATTTTAAGTAGATTTAGAATATACAGGGTGAGTCATAAGTGCAAATATTTTTAAGGTTTCTAGATCTTGATAAAAGAAACATATTTTCTCTTTACCGTTTTTCAGATGAGTCCAAAATAACCGAGTTATTTTGTTTTGAAATTTAAAAAAAAAAAAAAAATTTGCTTAAATTTTGAGAACCACTGGATTTTTTCTAGTGAATTTTATCTACAACCTATGTTACCATATTATCAAGAAATTGTTTTTTAACTAAAAACTAAAAAAAATTACATTTTTTTTTCAAAAAATCCCAAATTTTCAAAAAACAACTCATAATCATGTTTCTGGGGTCGAAATATATTACCCCTAAAAATATTTGCACTTATCTAACACTCACCCTGTATAGACCCTTAAGGGCGTAATTTTTCTGGTTTTGTTAGAAGATTGACTGTTTATACCCTTGCTTTTTTATTTTTGAAAATGGTTAAAACTTCTCCTACAACTAATAGTGCACTTGTAAGCAGGGTTTGGAAAACTACATGTTACTTTTAAAAACTACATAAACTACATTACATGTAGTTAATGTAGTTTATGTAGAGGGTGTAGTTTATGTAGAGGGTGTAGTTTATGTAACTTTCAAATATCAAAGGTTTGACGTGAGGTTTTAATAAGTTGAAGCTTTAAAAACACATAATGTATTTAAGAAAACAGAAGAAATATGGTTTTAAATATAATATTCACATCATATTATCTCATTATTACAACTCATACAAAGGAAAATTATTCATAATATCAATACATAGTTTATTAACGTAGTTTTCATGTAGTTAATGAACGGGAAAAGACTTAGTTTTTGAAGAAAAACTACACGTAGTTAATCAGGTAAATTACGTCTTAATTAACTACTTCCGAACCCTGCTTGTAAGACCACAATAGCCTATAGTATCTTATTCTACGCCTTTTAATTAGTAAATAACAGCAGTTGTAACAAAATCGGTGACAAGACAAAAATCATCAATTTTTATGACTGGAGAAAAAATGCCCATTTTTGGCTATTTTTTACTCATATTTAAAGGTCATAGAAAGATAGTAAACACAGTTATAAAATTATGAAAATATCACTATTTATAGGAAATTTTATGTAGATACAGAAAATATACACCTTTAAAGGCTTAGATACCTTGGTTTTGTGAGAAAATTAATTTCTTGAACACTTGTTTTGAGGCTATTTTTGATTTCTATGTACATTAAAATAAAATTAATAATTAATTAAATAAATTAATAATTAAATAAAAATCGCCAATTTTCATGACCATATGTATGGAAAAAAGTATTGTTAAACATAATTTTGTTTTATTATATACCTTTATAGGGTTAAGGAAGTTCTTTTTTGGTGGAAAACCGTCTTATTCAAAGGCCAGAACATGCCGGTTATATAATGTTTGTCGGGGAATGGAGCACTGTGGTTTTCCAAAGTCCAAAAGGGGCGTTATTGTTAGGAAGCAGTGGCCGAATTGCCCCTCAGACACCGAAATTGTAACAAAACGGCCCTTAAGTTTTTGTTCATACATACAGAATGTGCATTCCCCATTTCGATATGTGCCTACAGAGAAAAATCACAATTTTTGTTAAAGCAACCGTCTCAGTCAGTCGTATTTTATCAATACTTTTTTATCGCGCAATTTAACAATAAAATAACTCATAAAATATACAATAAAATATATATCATATACTGAAAAAAAAATATAAAAATATTTTACATAAACTATGAAAGAAAACTAAAGAAAGTTAGGTATGTTTTTAAGAAAATTTAATCGATATACAGATTGTCCCAGAAATAAGTGCAAGTATTTTAAGAGGTGGTAGATCTGGCCAAAAGAAACATATTTTCCCTTTGCCATTTTTAAAATAAATTGATAATAACCGAGTTATTTTGAAAATTTAAAAAAATAATGGCAACATTTTGAGAGCCGCCGGCAGCAATCGATAATCAGCCACAAATACCAAGCAATTACCAGAATCTCAGCTTGTTCGACGTACAGTGTTGACACATCGATAAGATTTATAAACGACTTGGAAACTTCAGATTAAAAGTAAAAAAATTACCTAAAATAAGAAAACGAGACTCCGATAGATAGCAGATCGATTTAATTATGTTAGAGCGTCGTCATCACTTTTTCTAAAACCGCAACTCTACATAACAAATACATTCATGCCATCTGAATTATTTAGTATTGTTTTTTGAGAATTTAAACTCGTCTGTTTTCTATCTCACACTCTTGTTTTTGTGAATAAACACCAAAATAATTGATATATCTATTTGAATAATAAAATTATTTTTACAGGCTTATCTTACATTTGCCTATTTTTTTGTCGGAAGTTTACTGTTTTGAGTAAAATCTCAAATGACTTGGATAACCTAAAAATGCCATCAACTGATCTGTTTAAATATAGGTCAAACGTTGATTATTATTTACATAATATCTTATAGAAAACGCTGATTCTGAACTGTTGAAAAAATTAATTTAAGTATTTTTTTTTGCAAAAATTTAAAAATGTGAACTTGTAACTTATAAACATACCGAATGTGGATAACGTAGGAGGTGGCAACATTGCCTTCTCTCGAAGCACTATAAACAAATTTCCGGACACTGAGCCAGCGACACTCAAAAGTTTTTCAATATTCTCCGGAAAATGTCAAGAAAAAAACTAATGGGCGTGTTTCTGGAGTCGAAATTACTACCAGTTAAAATACTTGCACTTATTTCTGGGACACACTGTATTATTTAGAATATTACCTTTTTTTAAAGCCATATTTATTTTTCTTTTACAAGAAACTCGGGCAGAATTTTATTGGAATAGTTGTTCTATTATACTCTAATTCAATGCATTACTGCGAATCCATAGTGATGCCCTTGGGTCCAGTTTTCTCAATGTTGCGTTCGCTTGGGTCCCATTCAAATGCTTTTAGAAATCGACTGGTTTTATTACAGTATTTTTATTATTTCTTTTTAACGCATCACACTGACCAAAGCCAGTTTAAATTATCACTTCATTTTCAAACCTTTACAACGCCTTAAAACTATCTTATTTAATTTAGTTATATAAATACACTGAGATATAAAAGGTATTCTAATTTGTTAAGTGTAAAATGCTGTTATATTATGCCCTTTTCCAAAAACTGACTGGATTGAACGTGTTGACAAATGCTTTCCGTTTTAATAAATAATTTCTAATAATAATCAACGGCCATGCATATTTATTAAGTCTAAATTAATTTAATTATTTTTAATTTGGGCCCTTAATGGAATAAAACGATTTTCGTTTAAAAGCGTCTTTTGGGAAAATTTGTTTTCGTTTTTTATGGTTTCAAACTGAAAGTTGTTTCTAAAATATGAGAATATTAAATAAAAATGTATAATCATGAGTTTTTTTAATAAATATTGAATATATTATATAAATGAAAGGCGCTGCAAATTAGAGTTCAGAACCGGGAAATTCTGTACCGAAAATACCGGGAATCCCCTGTAGTGATGCTATATTATTCTTCTTACTTCTGAAGTTCTTTTGAAGTTCCTACATAATGTTCATTAGCAATAATTATTAAAGTTTAAATATTTTATTTTATTATTTAGTAAAATGTTGCTAAATTTATTAGTTATATTTTTGTTATATTCTTATTTTGGTGTGAATTTTAAGTTAGCCATATTTATTCCTTAGCTGGTGTTCATGTTAATTTTCAATTTTTTATCGATTTTACTTTGGAAAACCATCGCCTTTCACATTCCTTTCTAATTGATAAAGTGCACTATCACTGAACAAAAATTAGTTAGTACCGAAATCCCGGTTCCAAAGAGACGCGGTACCGAAATTCCCGGTCCCGAAAAACAGCTCTTGTTCCGGAAACCCTACTGGTAATACAGGAATAAATATAACAATATTTTAATAAAGCTTTAATTTATTATTATGATTGTTCAAGCCTTCAAAGAGTAATATATCCTAAATACACATAAAATTTCCTACAAATACTGAAATTATCAAAATTTTAAGAATCCGTTTAGTATTTTCCTAAAGGCGTTAAAAAAGAACCAAAAATGGACTCTGGAATGTTAATTTTGTATCACATCAAATTAGAGTTCCTCGAGTAGTTAGGCTTGAATATTACTCCGAATATAGGATTAATGACATAAAATGGGGAAAGAATTCTCCCCAAAATTCGATATCCTGGAAAACTTTTCAAACCGAATTAGAAGAAAAGTTAAAAAGACTAAAATATAAAAGGAATTTAAAAGAGGGAATACGGCCGGCCGGCGCGGCGTTTCCACACAGGGCTACAGCACTGGCAAGTTTATTAAGCGTAGGCGCAAATGCTTGCCAGTCGCTTTCCAGACCCTTTCCAGAACGGCTCTATAGCAACTCTCTACTCCGGTATCCACACCACGCGTAAACATGTCTTTCGTGATATCAAACAAATCGAAATAAGTGAAAAATACAAGAAGATGAAAATGTTATTTAAAGGGCACAGCACCCGCCTGGAGATGGTGATAGAAAAAATTCATTCCCACAAGGAGGTCACATACCAAGGTAAAAAAACAATATTTTTTTAAAAAAACACTCAGAAAATAAAGTGTCTATTAAATTTAGATAGTGAAATTATACGAAATGGGTTCGAAAACAATTCTATTTTACCGGAAATATCGGATTCACCAACATCTCTTAGTTTTTCCGACACGGAAGAAGAAAAAGACTGTGATGAAATAACAAAAGGGATGGATTTTGAGTCAAGTATTTCAGAAAATAGTCATTCCATCTCTAAGGTATTTAAAAACTTCCTAAAAAGCTTTAAAAACGGAATTTAATGTTTTATTTTTAAGTTTTTATGCAAATATTGTCCAAGAGAATTTAAACATAAAAGATCAAGAGATCGCCACATCAAACTGCACACAGGAGACAAGAAATACAAATGTCTTCAGTGCGAATCAGCATTTGCCAGAAGGTAAGTCCTGCTTCTTTTAAATTAATTAATTTAATGAAACATCTCACTTTTTTCTGTGTATACCGGCCAGATATACCGGGCGAGTCTCAAAAGTGGTTCACCTCTATAACTTTCTTATTTTTTCAGGTAAATAAACGAGATTTGGTATGTTAGTATATGACATAAATTAGGATAGATTGACGTATTCAATTGTTTTTCGTCACTTCCTGTTTCACCGGAAATGACTACAACTTTTGAGTTTTAAATGGTACCCCCGGTATATCTCTACTTTATTCGATAGAATATTACCATTCTGAGTAGAATGACCTCATATGTCAACTTTTGACATTCTCGCTTTAGAAAAAATCTTATTTTAAATTTCAATCTAGAGTGTCATGGCTGTGTTAAAAACACTAATTTTTAATCAAGGAGCCGTGGAAAAATAGATTTAATCGTCTGTTTTTCGTGTCTAATCCTAGCCGGCTAAAAGATGCCCAAATCGTATTTTTAATCATATGTCAATTTTTTCAAATGGAACGAGGGTGGCTCATTAGCATATTTGGAAAAAGCATTTTTTTACGAATAATTTGATACCACACACTTGGTATTTCGAGTCAAAATGAACCGCATGTTACGATTTTAAATAAACCATATGCGAAAATGTCGAAAGTAGACATGTCATACGTCAGTCTATTCAGAGTGTCATTTTCTATCGAATAAAGTAAAAAAATAGCGAGGGTGCCATTTAAAAATCAAAAGTTGTAGACATTTCCGGTGAAACACGAAGTGACCGAAAACAATTATATAATAAATATATATAATTATATTATAAAATAAAAAATTATAGGGGTGAGCCACTTTTGAGAGGCACCCGGTATGAAAATTTTCGAAAAATCATGTTTTAAAAAGACTCATAAAAAACTACTAACCAACCATAGCTAAGGAATTCTCAATTTCAGCGATCACTTAAAAATCCACTTAAAAACTCACGAAATTAAGAAGCAGTATAATTGCCACAGATGTGGAAAAGGATATAATACAGCAAGTGCCTTGTCCTTTCACAAGCAGATCCACAAAAAAGAAATGGAAGGTACTATAGAAAGCTCATCTGTATCCAGTTGTGAAAGCTCCGCAAAAAATACTAATACTGAAATAAATTATTTCCCTATCAGACATCCCGAAGACTTGGGAGAATCGATGAAAATTAAAACTATTTGCGTGTACTGCTTCAGATGGTTCTCCAGCATAGATGTAATGCAAGAACATGTTCAATTATGCCACAGAAATCTCTCAAACTCCATCAAAATTAAGAATGTAAATATAAAAAAATTTCCAATTAAAAATATTCAAATAAATATGCTATTTATTGCAGGAAATTCCTAGTCCAGAAGACATCAGAGACATAAAGTTAAAAGACATTTTTTTCGAAGCAGAACAAGATGATTTAACTCAGTCAAAGAAAGACATGCATTTATTCAACGGAGAGGAGTCCCAAAAAACCTTTATATGTGCTTGCTGCTACGAAAGACTTCCTAGTTTCAAAAGTTTCCTCTTTCACATGGAGTCGCACGTTCCATCATCCAAACTAGAATCGTGCCTCCAATGCGGAGAAGACTTAGGCTCAAGCTTAAGCCTCTCGAGCCATTTATTCAAGCATTCTATGCTTCCTCTGAACAACTACGTATGCTGTTGTCACTGTAACAAATTCTTCGAGAATTCTGAAGCACTGCAAACACATCTCTCTCAAGATCACGTAGTAACCGTATATAAATGTTCGATATGCGATCAGCTATTTGAAAATATAGGAGATATGAAGGTATTTTTTTTTGAATTTAATATGTTGAATATATCTTAAAATGCTTTAGGTTCATCTTCATGTGGCTCATGTCAGCAATGAAGTGCACTACGAATGTAATTTATGCTCAAACTCCAACGTGTTTCACGATAAAACTTCTGCCGAGTTACATTTTTCCAAACACCATTCTGATAAACTTTGTGTCCAACCTCACAATGACTTGGTGTTGTACTCTAGCTTTTCTAGTTGTGAGAATGGTTTGATAGGAAAAGATAAATCCTTAGATGAACGAGGTAAAATTATATTGAAATTCATTATATTTTTTGCTATATTTTTTGTAATTTCCAGGCCCAAGTAGTTTTCAATGCATTTACTGTAAAGAATACTGCAAAACCAAGAACGATCTTCAGTTGCATTTACGGTCTCATAGAATATCAGACAAATCTCGTCACAAATGTAACATATGCGATGAAGTATTCGCATCTTCTACTGATTTAGCCAATCACAAGCTGATGCACTGCAAAATAATTGACGGGAATATTTGTGTGCAATGCAAGACGATTCTCGTGGACGAGCAAGCATTTTTCAAGCACCAAGTGAAGCATAACGACGCTTCGAAGCCTCCTACGAAGTTAAATCTGATTCTTCCTTCCATATGTATCATTTGCGGTCAAACATTACAAAGTGACAAGGAGATAGAGCTTCATGCTAAGTTCCATTTGAAGTTTCTAACAGATCAATCGGCTACGCCTGCTTCAAGTTCACCATACTCAGAAAAAAATGTTCTCTCTAACGATCGCTGTACTGAGACCTCCATTAGTATTGACCCTTCGTTTGAACTGCAGTGTTATTTATGTAAAAAATCGTTTTCCAGCAAGGAGAACCTTCAAGTTCATTTGATCGAACATAACTTCTTCGGCATAAACCAGTTTAGTTGTTACGTGTGCTCATCAGTCTTTACTGGAGCTGGTGGCTTGCAAACGCATCTCTTTGAGCATAACCTAACCGAGAAACCCTACCAGTGTACACAGTGTTCCGCTGGCTTTTTCTTTAGAGCAGAGCTAGATAACCACCGCTACTTGCATAATTTTAGAGTCCAGTTCAATTATTTCACTTCCAATACGTAAATTTTGTTATAGATATAAAAATCTGTGTTATATAAAAATATACAATTATTAATGTCCGATAGTCGCCCCTGACAAAATAGTTTGTTAAAAAAAATGTTACTGAGGTAGTTGGAAATATTTGTTGAAAGGCTGTAAATATTTTTTAGAGACTGTTTTATTTATTGTAACTGTATATTTGAATTAAATAAACCATTACAAATAAGCATTCCCGAATTTTATTTACTTAAAATAATTAGTAATTGGATACTTTCTGATCTAAAATTCTAGGGATTAATTGAAGAAATAGTTATGCCCTCAAGTGACGCAGGCCCAGAAATGATATTGGTTACAGGATTTCGATCTAAAAAAAATTTCAATGTGTTAGATGGTCTAAGGTGTGAAAATGTTTAAATGATAAATTTAAAATAGGGAAAAATCGGGCAAAATAGTTAACTTTTTGAGCAGCCCGGTAAATGTTAGTTATGGATTATCGGGAGTAGCGCCGCGAACATGCATATCCACAAGGGAAGCCGCGGCAGCATTTCTCCAGGGGATGCATTAATTTTGTGCCGCCTGGCGCGTACTTCCCTCCAGGGAATCCAGCTTCACGAGCGGGATCCAGGAAATCCCCAGGGAATGGCTTCAATGTCGGAGCTCATTTTCCTTTTTTCCAGTTTTTATCCCCCTCCCCCTAACACCACTCCTTCTGCTATATCTCTCTGTCTTTTATTTCTCAAGTTTTTTTTCTGAAAATTCCCATCAGTATATTTGCCTTTAATTTTCATATTTATGCGTTTTGTTGGCATAGTCGGTTCTATATGATCAAGTCGCGAAGTTTTCCAAAAGTAAAATATTATATTCAGAATGTATAATAATGTTATGTAGATTCAGAATATACACCTTTAAAGGCTTAGGTACCTTGGCTTTGAAAAATCACCCATTTTCATAACTTTTTTTTACTCCTTTTTAGAGGCCGTGGAAACATAGAAAACATAGTCATAAAATTATGAAAATTTCAGCATATGTGGGAAATTTTGAGCACTTAGGTACCTTGGCTTTGTGAGAAAATTAATTTTCTGGACCTTTGTTTTTCAGTTATTTTTGATAAAGGTTTTTTTGATAAAGACGTCCCCTACGTCCATTATTGTTCTCGTAAAACTGCAATGGCATATATTTTCTTATTCTACACCTTTTAATTAGTGAATAACAGAAGTTTTAACATGACGAAAATCGCCAATTTTCATGACTCATTTTTTCCCACGTTTTTGGTACGTTTTCAATAATTTCAATGCACTTAGAATAATAGTAAACCTAGACTAAAATTTTGAAAGTTTCAGTAATTCTAGGAAATTTTATGTCGATTTTGAGTATATAAAGCTTGAATGAAATTTAATGATTTGGTTTTATGAGAAAGTCGATTATTTAACCCTTGTTTTGGAGAGGTATTTGATGTTGGCATATGACTTTTGTTTTACACCTTCTAATTAGCCAATAACACTATTTTTATTAAAATCAGTGACATGCCAAAAAAAATATAAAAAAATGGCAATTTATGATGATGGCTTCAAACCTCTTATAAAAAAATAGTAAAAAACGGTTGTTTATAAGACTTTGAAAGGTACATTCCAACCCTAAGTTAGAAATAATACAAAAAACAATCTCTTAAAATAGAAAAATAGCCATAAAACAAAAAAAATCTTATATTATCTATTTTGGATAAACTTTCCGATGCTGTTTACAAATTTTAAAGCATATGTTTCCACCGATTCTATAAATTAGAATTTATACTACGCCCTACGCTTTAAATAACGTAGATTTGTATAACATCTTTTGGCAAATGGAACAACTTTTCCTTTTCAGCCATAAATCTTTTTTTAACGGATAATTCTGTCTACTCCAGACGATATTTGCTGCTCCAAAATATCCGCAGTTTCCGTAAGTTATGTTGTTTAAAGTTTAACATATCCTTTCAGTTTATTTTAACAGAAATATTTTCTTTAATTCATTATTTCAACACGTCATGAACACGGTCTAAAGTATCTAATTACGAATTGTTGCTTATCGATTGTCCACGGGAATATTGAATGATTGAATAAAAAAATATTATTGCTGCTTTCTGTAAATTTTCATATTGATTGAAACTGATTATCGATTTATACAGGTATTAATAGAATAAGCTTGTCTGTTTGGGAAAATCAAACATAGAGGGCGCAGTGAGGAAAATCTATACCTATACTACAAGTTGTAGAATATATCTGAAGGTTTCCTCTCGGTGATTTTACCATTAAACGCTAGATGTATTAATGGCTTCATATTTTACTGTTGAACTGTTTCTTATATTACATACATAGATTTATGAAGATCTTCATACATAGATTTATGAAGATCTCTTCTAACCTCTTTGATTACATACAGAGAAATATAAAATGTGACATTAAATGTTTACGTTTTGAAAATTTCTGCTTATAAAATATCTTATGCGCTGCGAAATATTATTTTAGTTCTTTTAGATTAATAAAAAAAGACCAAAGGATTTTTGTACTCAGAATAACACAAAATTTGAATTATTTGCACTTGTTTAAAAGACCCCGTATAAAAATACTCTCCTCTGAAAAATGATGAGGAAATATGTATTATTTCCTAAGTACTATTATTCATTCTTCAAATTATTTGCAATTAGGAAAAATAAAGGTGCAGTAATTTTGTCATCAATAATAAAAAAATATATGCGTGATATCCTAGACAAAAAGTGGAGTTTTTGGGGACAAAATACTATATTCATGAAAAGTATTTCCATTTGAAAATAAGCGCAAATTGTAAGGGTCAATGTGCAGTCTTGCATAAGGATCAACGAAGTGAATCCATCAACATTAGGAATGGGGTGAGGCAGGGTTGCGTCCTGTTACCATTTCTTTTTAATATCCTCTTAGATGATATTCTAAGGAGAATAATTTCCAAGACTCATCGTGAGATATATTGGACTTCCTTTAGCATGTTATGTAGATGACATCTGTCTCCTTTCTCATAGTCACACGGATATGGCATCAAAACTACTTGACTTTTCAAATAAAGCTACTTATGTATGTTTTCTGTTAATGTTTACTTTCTCATGACTTAATAATTTGATATTATTTTCATTTGAAACTCAATTTTTTATCGGTTTTACTTTTGAGAAACTATCCCTTGCTTGCTAATTGACGAACTCAAAAATCGTTGAACGAAAATATTTTTGTACGGTTCTGGAAACTCTAATTAATACTACCAATTAGGGTAGTATTAATTAGAGTTTATTTATTATTTTCATTAAAAATTTCAATTTTTTATCCATTTTATTTTGATAAACCATCCTTTGCTTTCTGACTGCACCACCATTGAACAAAAATTAGTCAGTACCGAAAAAAAACGAGAAATCCCGGTTCATAAGCGGTGCGGTACCGAAGTTCCCGGTTCCGAAAAACAGCTCCGGTTCCGGAAGCACTAACCCAGACGGCCATTTCGGGAACAGGGTTCCAGAGCAAACAAACGTCACCGTTTCGGCTGAGGAGGAGCGGGATCCAGTAGGGATTCTGACCTATGGGCCTGAGCAGTAAGGCGGGATGCGCGCGAGTTTTTCGGCAGTTTTCGTAAAACGTCAGGCGATAGACGAACGCACGGGCTCGGATGCCTGTCGTCGCGATTTTCGAAAAAAATGAATTGTGCCGTCCCAAACAACGACACTAATGCCAGCCTTCGCCTCTGAAACAACATCAAAATGATCCCGCAAACAACGCAACCCAACAAAACAATCATTTCCCGAAGGTGATTTATTTAATACATTTTCTTTCCGAATCCAGATAACGTTAACCTTAAAATTCTCTTTTGTTTATTTATGTATATATAGGAAACTTTTTATCAACAAATATTAACCGACTTAAGACTTTAAGTCAGTTAATATTTGTTGATAAAAAAACTTTAGTGTTATTAATGTATTTTTAATAAAAAGTTTTATACATAATAGAATATATTGGAAATATTTTTTAATGCGCTCCTATTCTATTCTCTAATATATTTTATTCTGAAAGTCCATTCAATAATTTGGAAAACACTTTACAAATTAAAAACTAAATTAAGTTATACTAATTTCATTAACCTGGACCATAATTTTAAATTAATTTAATCATTTTAATTTTAAGAGAATTATTTAAATGTTATTTTAAAAATTCCATTATTTTTACATTTTTGTATTAAATCAATTTTAAACTTCGTTTAATTAATGAATTTATAAAATTTGGGAAAGCCCAACAAAACAATCATTTTCCGAAGGTGATTTATTTAATACATTTTCTTTCCGAATCCAGACATCCAGACAACTTTAACCTTAAATTTCTCTTTTGTTTATAGAATTATTTAAATATTATTCCAAAAATGACTTTTACATGTTTTACTTAAATCAATTTTAAACTTCGTTTAATTAATGAATTTATAAAATATGGTAAAGCCTACGGAAAAAATGATGCTACAACAATAACCATCTATCCAATCCATCTTTTTTGAAAGGTGATCCATTTAATACCATTTGTTTTAACATTAAATCTCCCATTTGTTTATATAAAACCTTTAATAAAAAAATACTTCATCCAGAATCTATTCAATTTATCTTGAAAATTCCTTGAACTTCATAAATCTCCAGACAGATATTATTTTTAGTTCTAGAAAAGAGATATAAAACAAAAAAATATTTAAATAGATATTAGAGTCTTTATAGAAAGGAAAAAAATAATAAATAAAAGTTTCAGACAGTTCCGAAGTAGCTCATAAACTTTTTTAATTATCTTTCCTGGATATAAACTGGGATACACTAAAACCTGGATAATTTTATACAAAAATACTGTGGCATTTTTAAATAACTCCGTCTATTAATTTGGGGTATTTTTAAAAATACGTTTTAACAGAGTGAACAAAATATAAAACTCTATTATATAGGTAAAAGGATGCCGCTGAAAATATAACAAAAAGTTTGAAAAAAAAAGGTTCAGTACATATACCATACACAATCGCCGTATTTGGTTTAAAGTTATTTAACATTAATTGAAAAATATGTGCGCTTCTATGTTTGGATTAACTCAGCTGTGACATTTGAAAAGCTTTGCTAAAAAATCTAACAAATGGCTACATTTCATTGAAAATTGTATTGCTTTCAATATAGTTTTTCTTTTCATTTATAAAATAAAAAAAATATTAAACATAAATTGATAAAAATATACAGGGTGAGTTTTAAATAAGTGCAAATATTTTTAGGGGTAGTATATTTCGACCTCAGAAACCTATGAGGTTTTTTTTGCATTTTTTTTGAAAATCTGGAATTTTTGAATATTTTTTTTAAATTTTTAGTTAAAAACATAATATCTTAATAATATGGCAACATAGGTAGTGGATTAAATTTCATGAAAAAAAATCCAGAAGTTTCTCAAAAATTAAACGAAAAATATATTTTTTTTAATTTTCAAAGTAAAATATCTCGGTTAGTTTGGACTTATTTTGAAAAACGGCAAAGAGAAAATATGTTTCTTTTATCGAGATACCAGCCCTGAAACTATTTGCACTTATTTAGGACTCATCCTGTATATTAATAATAATAATCCGAGCTAAGTTCCGATACTATACTCAAATAAATCTATACTAATATATAAAATTCTTAAGTGACTGACTCACTGATTAATCACGATCCTGCTCAAACCACTCAACGTAAGAAGCTCAATTTTGGCATACAGGTTGATTCTAGGGTGTAGAGGTTCGATAAGAAGGGATTTTTCGAAATTCCAGTTCCAAGGGGGTGAAACCACCCCTCAAATATTACAAAATTTCTTATTTAAAAAACGGTCAAGTTTCCGCAAAAACGCTTAAACACGTATATTTTATTTTGTTTTTTTACATAATTTAAGATTTTTTAAAAATGTATACAGGGTGTTTCGAAAAATCTGGTCATTGATTAATCACGATTCTGCTTAAACTGCTTGACGTTTAAAGCTGATTTTTGGCAAACGGGAGGTTTCCCGAATCTCAAATTCCAAGAGGGTGAAAATGTCCCTAAATATTGCAATATTTGTTATTTAAAAAACGGTTAATCTTTCGTGAAAACGCTTGGACACGCATAATTTATTTTGTTTTTTACATATTTTGAAATTTTTTAAAAAATCATACAGGGTGTTGTGACGTAAAAAGCTTATTTTTGGCAAACAGATTTTTCGAAAGTCAAATTCCAACGAGATGAAACTACCCCTCAAATATTACAAGTCATATAATAATATCGCCATATTGTTTTTTCTCATGCTGACATAAATGTGAGAAAATTTTATCCAGTTTGTATGTTAATGGAAATTCTTGTTTTGCTTTATCATCACAATTACAAATGATTAATTCGACGCGAACGAAGTCGCTGGTACACGCTAGTCCATTTATAAAAACTATTAAATTTCTTAAACAGATTTTTGCTTCAAAAAGTATAAGAACTTATAATATGTTACATTTTATCTAATATAACACTGAGTTAAAGAAATAACTAAAAATAACTAAAGAAATAAAAATAAAAAGTGATTATTTGCACTGATGACATTAACCTGCATTGCCACAAATATCATGTCTCGTGGGGCCTTCTTGGCTTACAAAATAGAGTTATTAGAGGTAGTATATGTCAGCTAGTATTAAAGAATAAAAATAGTAGCTACGTTCCATTAAGGCCCATCTACACGTAGCGTTATGCCTGTCGGTCTTACATGTTCAGTCAAAGTAAAACCACAGCTTACTCACTAGTCAGCTGGTCAACTCTGCTAATTTTTGCGTACCCGCGCTTGATCTGCCGCGCAGGACTCTTGTCAGTCAGAGCAGCAGTTGAGATTGATTGGCTGAGCGAAGTATCGATAGTTTACCCAGGGTCCGCATATGCAGGAAAAATTAACAAAATTATTATTTTCGTTTATGTAATTGACAAGTAAAAATCAGGACAAAACATGATAAACGCGTATTTTATTTTTAAAAGCGAAAACTAAGAAATCTTTAATATAAATAAAATTACTTAAATCTAACATGCTTTTCTTTTGTACCTTTTATACAATTATTTTATTATAGGAAATCGGTGAAGGACATATGTAGATAATGTTAATACATTATTTTAATTAAGGTGTATGAAATTAATTAACGCAATTTTATTGCTTGATACTAATTTTAAAAAAATGCTTTATACTCAAAAATTAAAGGACATATACATTAAATTTGTATTAATGTCACGCTCTGGGCAATTAAAAACAATAAATAAATATGTATTATATAATCAGAGTTTATCGAAAATAAAGGTAGGCAGTTTTTCATATTAGTTCGTGATGAGAAATTGTACTGTACTATGTTGGTTAATAGTGTGTTTAATAAGTGTGTGGTCTTTTTCGTTGGGGGCATAATTTGTTATTATGCAAAGAAGGCGAATTTTAAGTTGTGTTGTAGTAAAATGCAGAAACAATTCGAACAATTATTGTATTTTTAGTTTTTTCAAATTTCCAGCGGATATGGCCAGGTATGTACGTATAACATTGCAAGGTTTAACATCAAATAATAAGATGTTATATATTATAGACTCGTTAGAAAAATATGTATGGGTTATATTAATTTTTAACTCTATAAGTTATATATAATAACAAATGTTTTAATTGATAATTAGAACTATGGATATATCTAAAAATAACATCATCCAATTAATATCTTTAAAACTAATAAATTAAAATTCATAGAATAATTTCATTCATTTCTTTCAAACTTTATTTACAAGATAAAATATCTTAAATTTAAATAAGCTAAAGATAAAAGTAAGCTGTGATAAAACTTTGTATGTAGACAAGAAAAACTGTCCTTTAAAAACTAGGCCAATAGGTTTCAATTTGTCATACCTGATCTTGAGAACTGCCCTCAATTTCCTGGACCTGAACAGTCTTCCGTTTTACCTGACACGCAAGACCGACAGGCAAACCGTTACGTGTAGACGAAGCTTTAGAGGAAGTATATGCCAACTAGTTTTAAATAATAAAACTTGTAGCTGTATTCGATGAAAAACCAAACTTTTATTATTGTTTTTGGATTAAGCTTATTTACGAATTGCAATTTTCGTGTTATTTTTGAAAACAAATCGGGGCCGCCGTAATGTACTTTAACCAGAACTTTTACAGTTAGTTTTCAAAATACCTCAGTGCTTAAATTCTGAACCGAAATAATAAACGTTGATATCGAAATATAACTTCTGCAGTTTGTAAATTTAGTTTTTCTCTTTTGTGTAGAACGCCAGCCGGCTGATTCAGCTTTAAAGCGAATTCAGTTTTGCACGTTGAGCTCGTTTATTTGTTTTATTTTATTCAGAATGTGTAACAACTGCCTCAAATTCGGGTTAAAATAGTGCTTAATGTATTAATAAGTCATTTCTTTTGCTATTTTAACTTGTTACCCGTTCTACAAGCAAATTTAAAAAATTAGCATTATTTCGGTTTTAGTAAGATTGTAGATATATTGTAGATTTTTATAGATCTATTGTGTCCCCCTTTCTTGAATTATAACTGATCAGTATCTGAGACGGTTTTACAGAGAATAATTCTCCGATATCAGTCGTACCCAGGCCCGTTCCTGCGATATCTGGCGCCTACGTGCAGCATTCTTTGGTGCGCCCTTTTTATATTTAAATCAATTATATATTTTAATCTTAATCTCAAAATTTTAAAGAATTTATATTCTGCGACAAACGAGCAATATGTAATTGAAAATGTAAAAAAAACTATTCTAATTAA